AAAGAAACAAAATAATTTAGCTTCTGCAGTGGCTTTCTCAAATTAATCTCTTCCTGAGACCCGATAAGATATACAACTGATCTCTTTTCACTTCACTTTTTCTTTACAATGAATATAATAGGTGATTTTTTTTCACTATTAGACTTTATCAGGCTTTATGTTTTAAATCAACATCCTGTCCAATAACTTTTTTACAAAATACAGTTCTTACCTTCGACTTGTCCATTTGGTATGTTTTTTCCTCTTTGATCTGCAGCTCCAGAGAAGTGATCAACATGCTTCTGCGGTAGACTTGCAGAAAAACGCTGTTAAAATTTATATCAATAATGAGATACATGAGGTATTTTACACATCCATATTAATATCACAAAATCATACATGTGGCCATAGGATGACCTGAAATAAGTCTCTAGTTTGTAGAATAACTTAACTTCAGAACCCAAACTGATTCCTTATGACTTTGAAGCCTTAGTTTCTTATATTATAGTACACCGATTTCATTAAAGGAATCTTGGAAATTAGCAGAATTATACTATGCAGTATTCATATATTTAGAACATAGTTATTCTAATGATAACTTAAAAACATAAGAAAATAAATTTTATGGGCAAATGCAGAGATGAGAAAGGAAAGTCAAAGCAAACCTTATATGTATTAACATCACTCAGTGCTGACATTTAAATTAATAATAATTAATAATAATAATAATAATAATAAAAGACAGTACCTCAGGATCTGAATGTGATTCTACATCTTCCTCTTCTCCTAATTCTAATGCTGACATTTTAACTATAAAATGTAGTTACAGATACATTAATGTGAACATTTATTACCATGAATTTTAAATACATATATGTCTATCTCCATTCGTAAATATTTTGATGAAATAAAAGTAATAACAAAAATGAATTTCAGAGTATTGAAGCTTTTGCAAGAAGAAAAATTGGCATTTGGGATACTTTTGAAGAAAGAAAGCAAAAAATATATACTTAAGGAAATAGATCTCATATTCGTATCTACTCACTTTAGATTTGTTTAGACAAGCATGTAAGCAGAAAAAAATATATAGTCACTAAATTATCACTTGTATTATTTTTACGTGCTCCATCAACATAGGTCAAATTGTCCTTATTTGTTTGCTCTCATGGAGCACTTTCAATAATATCCATACCATTTTCTTTCTTCCCAATTGCTGGTGTTGTTGCTTCTTCCTATATAAACAAAACAAATCAAAAACCTAACTTTGGATAACATCATATTCATTCACTTGCTTGCTCACTCACACAATCAGTCAGGGAGACAACAAAGGTTTGCTGTATCTATCAAATCACAGGCACTAAACTGAGAGATGTTGGATGTATAAATAAAAGACTTTGTCCTCTATTGTATTAGGGGTAGAGATACATGAAAAAATTAAGAACAGAAAGGTATCATTTGCTACTTCTATAACTAAAGTGAGTAAAGTACAGTAAGGGTACAAAAGAGACAATAGTCATTTGTACTTGGGAAGCTCAGGAAATGCTCCAAAGTTTGTATCGTGAAAGATACATGGAGAGAGGTTGTGAAGGGCATGAAAGGGCAGCATGAGCAAAACAAGAAGTAAAAGACAATACAGTAAGTGAGGGCACCAAAGTACTGTGGTAAGGCTAGAGCACTAGGAATGGGATGGAGAGACAAAACTGCAGAATCAGAGCCACAGCGAACAAGGCAAGTGTCATGCTGGCATATGAGTTTTACCCTCATGTAACGGAGAGCCACTAAATACGCAGAGGAGTTACACCATCACATGCATATTTTAGAGCAGTCACTCTGGCAGCAATGTAAATATGAATATAAAGACAGCAAAACTAGAAAAGAGTATTTCAAAATTGAAGGTGAGAAAGGGACTACAATAAGATATTAAATTCAGGTGAAAATATTAAACTTGGTGAGTGACTAGATATGGTGATTTCAGGGATGGTTGAAATCCAGGATTTTTCACGCTTCAGTATTTCTGTGGTGGATTTACTAGGATGAGGAAAAACAAATGACAGAGGAGGTAACAGAGGTCAGCAAAAAGGAAAGTGTCGGGGCAGTGTATTCAGTTTGGAACATATCAAATTGTAGGCACCCAGGGGACTTAGAAGAAAGATCTGGATAAATACATTTGGAGTAGGACTAGGTGACCTTACTCAGGAAAAGCATAAGATGTTAAGATAGATATTTGTAACATGTACTAAACTGATAAAATTAAGCAATGCAAAGCTACACAGAACTTGTGAAATTTTGAAAATAAAAATTAGAGTAGGGGAAAATATATTTCAATTATATTTTTCAAATTCTGTTTCAACAATATGAAATACCCTTTTATGGATATATGCAAATATTTATTTCTGGAATATTATAGCATTAAGCATTTTAAGTTCAATGAAAATATTTCATTGTTAAACAGCAATCACGATGTTATAAGAAGAGTCCTGTTTAAAAATTAACTTTAAAAAGTAAGTTTTAAATTGTAGAAAAGAAATGCTTATGTGACTATAGAATCGTGAGACATTTTTAAGTACTCAGTGATGTATGAAAAGAAAACAAATCCCTATTTTTAATATCACATGGTTTTCTTATTCCCCTATGAAAAGCACACTAATAGTTGTAATTTTTTATCTATTCTATTTAGCATGGTAGTTAAAGTTTTTCAGAAAAGAAATCTATTAAAAAAACTAATAAAACTATATTCATCCAAGTTGAAGATTTAAAAGTCTTCAAATACGTCCAGATTGTTAAGCAGGACCCAATGAAGAAATGGACTAAAAATAAAGTCACCAAGACGTCTGAGTTTTAGATAGGAAAGAATTGTCATGTTAGGTTTAACAACTATGAATACCAAAGTTAATAAAATTTCTTAAGAATATTATTCAATGTACACATTGCTGGAGATATTTTAAAAAGTAAAACATAATCTTGCAGCAATAATTTTGTATACTATGTTGGTAATCTTTCCTTTTTTATAACTTTACAATTACAATTGATTTATATTAGAAAAAAAATCATAAATTGTGATTTCATTTGATGTGTGCATATGTGTCTATTAATTGCAGATAATATTCAGAAATAATTAATCAGAATCTCTAGCTTGAAGAGGCTAGGGGAGCTGCCCATTGTCTTACAGCTAGGAAATGGCACAGCGTGGGCTCAAAGTCAGATTGCCTACCTCTCAGGTCCAGGCTGGGACCACATTCTGCTCAGTCCTCTTTACTCTCTCTCCTCCCATTTTACGCCTTCTCTAATTTGTTTCTTCCTTTTGTCTCTCCTTGCTGAACAAACTCTAAATTGAAGCACTGTGCTAGGCATGCTGAGAATAAGTGTGTGGAGAGGGGACCTGTTAAAATCTGTGTCCCCTCACAGCCCTGCTCAGTCTCATTCTGCCCTCAAGGAAGCTTAGAGATGTTCCCTGAATCATTGTTTATAGTGGAAAACAAAACAAAACAAAACAAAACAATAAACTGGCTCTATTCATAGTAGACCAAATAAATAACTCATGTGCCAATAGGAGGATGGTTTCATTGTTGAGCCTCTTCTCACACAGCAGGCAGGTGAGCACATTTACTCTTCTGCCTGCCTACAGGTCCAGGCAGGCTCCAAACATGAGTGTCCATCAAACTCATCCCACCCTTGAGATTCCTGCAGAACCCATTCCACTCAAC